GAAAACAATAAATAATAGCATGCATCATAATAAAAACTGGAATTACGATTAAAATGAGAAACCTGTAAATATTCCAATTGACCTTTGGGCAGATCCTCCACAAATGTTGGTAGGATTCTGGTCTTTATGCCAATCGATCGTACAAGGGAAATAAGAATTACAGAATATCAAAGGAATGCAGAAAAAGAAAAGAGAAACAAATAAGAATAGAAAAACTGGAAAGGTTGCTCTGAAGATAAATTGGCAGCACTTCGTTGTCTGAATGCGGCTCCCTTTCTCAGCTCCCCTCCTTCCCCTTTTATAGAAATAGAATTCTAACGGTTATAACTTGAAGAAGGTGGACTTTGAGGCAGAATTATCAGGGAGTAGTGGTCCACTATTTGGGACTTGGAACTGCTTCTTTCACGTGCATTTGAAGTGGGGCGTTTTTGCCTGCATGACGGTCGTCACGGTGTGTGACGGTCGTCACGGTGTGTGACGGTCGTCACCCGTGTGATGGTCTTCATGGAGCTGTGACGGTCGTCACAGCAGCAAAATATGCATTCTGCATTTTTCATGTTGTTTTCGCTCGGTTTTCATCCATATTTCATCTGTAATTGTTTCTTTTCTTCATATTGCTTTGTTTAGACGTGATTATCAAATACCTGCAAAATATCAGACAAATAACACAGAAATAACCCGAAATCGGATCAAAAACAGTTAAACATCAGTTGAATTATGCATCAATATATATACGATTTCGTGTTATCAGATATTTATTTGATCCATACTAGTAAGAATCTCTCCAGCGAAGCAGATATTTATTTTATCCATGAGATTAATCCCCGTGAAGCAACTAGATTCATCTCGACAATCCTTCAAGAGAAGTCAAAATGTTATATCCCCAAGTGGAATAATGTATTTCCCCAAAGAGTTTTTAAAGCAGGACTATAGTCCCAGGAGTGGTTTTTATCCATCCTAGTGATGTTTCCATCTATGAAGATTTGGGCCGAGTATCCTTGTTGAGATGTTTATTTCATCTCTAGTTCCTTTGGTTGTCGTTTTGTCAACATAAGCATATCATATAGATACATGGCATGTGCATTTTTCATTTTTGTGTTTATTTATTTTGCTCACTTTCACCATGTTTATCCCCAAGTGACTGGGATTATCTTCTCCCTCCAAGTAGAGTCGTCGGTCCTAAGCAGAAAGAGCACATCCTTTATAATTCCCTCACTGAGTCCGATCCTTGTGGAAGATGGTTGCTTTAGTTTTCTTTTCCATTTCTGGATAAAGATAAATCTCTAGTGGAGTTCATTCCCCATTGGATGGAGTCTTGCTTGACCGTTTCTCTTCAGTTACTTCCTGAATTAAACTTTGGTCCCTGACAATCACAAGTTTGAATCTTTCTAGGCTATTATACCTAGATTAAGCGTGCATTTATTTTGCACTTTGTCTCCTCGGGAAGAATCTGTTTGAAGATCACCACAGAAGACGGAAATAGTTCCCCAACAGTGATAACACTTTCTCAGCATTCCATAACGATGAGTGTAAGCTCTTTATTTGAGTAGTTTATTTTGTTCTCAGGTTTTCTATTTGGATGATAAATGACAGTTTCTCTCCAAGACAAATTGTCTATTCCCAGCAAATTATTAAAGTTATCAACTCGTCCTTCATCAAATGGCATCTTTTCGGAAATCCATCAGAAAAGTTTGTTGAAGACTGCACAAGTGTTTCTCTTTATTTGAGAATTCCCGTTACAAGAATGTTATTTACTTCAATGCAATTTCAAACTATAGCAATACTGCTCCTCAGTGATGTTCTCCCCAGTGAGTTCATTATACAAGGTTAATTCCATCAAATGGTATCTCTCTGATAAGTTTGGCGAAGACTCTTACAGTTGACCTTTCTCTTTATTTGAGAAGACATGCTTTATAAACGGCCTGTATCTATTTCAAAGATCCCCAATGATACTTCCTAAGTTATGGATTCCCTCCGAAGTCATAGATCTCCAGTGCAATTCCAATCCCCTGTGAGGATACTTTCCCATAAATATTCGTCATTCTAGGAAGAAACTAAGACCCGTTCATGACATATAATTCATTCCCATCCACTACTGTTACCCCAACTAACCTTCTGACTCCCTTGAAACTATCCACTCCCTCCTCACTTGTAAACTCGGTTATGCTTCCCATAAACAATTCATTCCCATCCAACGATGCTGCTTCCATTCCTTCTCATCCGCCTTGCCCTATTGCTACGTCATCCTAGCCCACTTCCCATGTGAACCTTAATGACAAGGTTCCTCCTGGGCTCAGAAGTATTGTTAAGAAGCCCAATTTTTTTTAAAAAGAGTAACAAAAAGGCCAACCTGGTTCAAACACTTTTACATTCATTAGATGAGGTATTTTTAGCATTCCTCTTTTAGCCATTATTATTATATTTCTAAAATTATTTGTTAGTGGCTTAGGTTCATTTATCTTTCCAACCCTAACTGTTTTTATGTTTCATCTTCTTATGCAACCCTAGGTCTAGTCTAGTTTAGTGTAGTCTATCATGTTACATATTACATCTGTCATAGACAATTACTTTCTATTATGATTGCATTTTTTATCGACTATTCTTCTAAATCAAATTTAAAATGTTCTAAAATTCTCGTAATCATGTGACTTTATGACAACTACATATTCTCTTTAAAATGTAAAAGAAAAATTGATTTTCATACATTTTAAAACATACTGTCACATGACATATTTTTACAGATGAGCAGAAACACATTTACTTTGATGTCATGGATGCCGTAGATTGACAAAATGGTGGTGTATTTTTTTTATATGGCTATGGTGGAACAGGTAAAACATTTATGTGGAACACTCTCGCTGCTGCTATTCGTTCTAAACATAAAATTGTATTGCTTGTGGCATCAAGCGGGATTGCAAGTCCGTTGTTACCAGATGGAAGAACAACACATTCTAGGTTTAAGATATATGTCCCTACTTTGCATTCTTCAATTTGCAACATTGACAAAAAAGATGATCTTCCTGAGCTTTTAAAGACAACAGGTCTTATTATATAGGATGAGGCTCCGATGGCTAATAGATTTTGCTTTGAGGCTCTTGATAAATCCTTGAGAGAAATTATGAGTGAACTTCCACAGGCTGCAAATACATTATTTGGAGGCAAAGTAGTTATTTTTGGTGGTGATTTTAGACAAATCCTTCTTGTTGTTCCAAGAGGTAGTAGATCTGATATTATTCATTAAACTATCAATGCTTCTTATATTTGGGATCAGTGCAAAGTCCTCATGCTTACAAAAAATATGCGCCTACAAAGTGGGACAACTTCACAACACATTTAAGAAGTTCGTATATTTTCTGAGTGAATTTTAGCAATTGGAGATGGTACTATGGGTGAGGCTAATGATGGTTATGTTGAAATTAATATTCCGGAAGATTATTTAATTTCAAAATTTTCACATCCTATTAAGGCTATTGTTGATAGTATCTATCCCGATCTCATTCATAACTACCATGACCCCAATTTTTTACAAAGTCGTGCTATCTTGGCTTCAACAATTGAAGTTGTCGATGAGATTAATCAATATATCACAGATCTTCTTCCAGGTACTATACATGTTGTGAAGTTGTTTTCATGCTATTTTCATGTTAATTTCATATTTGACTTCATTTTTTAATTATTTTATCATTTGTTTGTTTTTTTTCCTTTTAGGAGAAGAAAATGAATACTTTAGTAGTGATTCTATTGATAGATCAAATTGTTCTCTAATTCGTTTTTTTTTACAGCTAAACATTGTGATACCAACTCCAACAGACACATTATTTTGCAACACGGGTTAGATGACATTTTGTTGTAGTACTTATCTTTTACTATTTATTATTACTTTACTCCTTTATTGACAACATTACCATTTCATTAAGTTAAATTAGTTGTTTCATAATCAATTTTTGTGTTGTTAATTTATATTGCTTTCTTTTTAATTGCATTCTCTTTCATTTAACTCTTATACATATATATTTATCAAAATTAGATATATATTTACAAATTTATTTTACCCGTGCAGAAGCACGGGTTTTCTACTAGTTAAAATATAAAAGAAAAATTAATTTTCATACATTATTAAATAATTACACATACACTAAAAGAAATCAAATATCCGTAATAATCAATTCGCAATATAAAAACTATTTTATGGTTTGAAATAATGGTGTTAAAATCCTAACCAATTCAAACTAAAACTCGATTTGATCTTAAAAAACTAAAAAACACAAAATTGAATATCATTTAATATGTTTGAATTTTAAATTAAAATTTAAAAATTAAAACAAAATGTATCATATATTTTTAATAATTATATATATATATATATATATATATATATATATATATATATATATATATATATATATATATATATATATATATATATATATATATATATATATATATATATATATAATATATTAGTTTAATAATGTATTATATAAATCTATTATTAGTTGATCTTAAATTTTTTAATACAATTTGTTAATTTAATATAATGTATTTTAAACTATTTATATGCTTATTAAATTTTAATATATTATATTTTGAGTGTAATTGTTATGCATATCATTGTATGTCATATGTCTTTTGAGTGTAATTGTTATGCATATCATTGGTGAACCAAAGCCTTTTCTCTCCTTCAAATATATATAATATGTCGTAATTGAAATATCAACGATTCAGTGTATTTTAATTAAATTTTTATATTTTATACCAAATCTATTTTTTTAATCGTATTTATAAATTTGAATATCAATAAAATCCAAGTGTCTTTAGAAATCATTTTAATTGATAGATATGTATAACATTATTAGATACATATTTTCAGCCATAAAATAGAGAGAGAAAAACACATATTATATATATTTGAAGGAGAGAAAAGGCTTTGGTTCACCAACCCCCGCAATATAAAAAGGGTGATCATTCAGTGTAAGTGGCACTCACGCTCACAGAGAAAGATGGCTTGCCGGCAGTTATGGGCTTCAAGAGCTGCGTCGTATCTCAGGATCTCTGTCTTTCACAGAAGCTTTTCTAACGGTCGGTAGTCTCATTCTCCCTCTTCTTCTTTCATTTCTTTTAGGTATTTCACTTAAGATCGTATTAACGCCACTCCATTTGCATGTTTTGAATACAGTTTCTGGATTCTAGATCTCGATTCATGTTCTTCCATTTTATTATTCTGCTTTTTTTTCTCCTTTATTTTAGTATAACTACGGATATTAATATTATTTTATTGTTCCACATTACATTAATGGGTGGGATCGGGGTTTTCAAGGTAGGGTAGGGGTTTGAGTGAGAAGGGGAAAGTGCACCAGCGATAGATTTGACAGTGGTACCCTTACCCTACCTCCAATTTTTTATGATTTGATCGGTTTTAGCGATTCAGATTCTGATTATGTTAACAATGATGCAAGAAAATGAAAATGCCAATTGTTTGATTTTGTGATAATAAACTACCCTGTGCTGTGTTATAACTACAGTTTTGAACAATCTCAAGTATGCCGATTCTCATGAATGGGTGAAAGTTGATGGAAATTCTGCAACCATCGGCATATCTGACCATGCGCAAGATCATTTGGGTGATGTCGTGTACGTTGAACTGCCAGAAGTTGGAGCAGCTGTCACACAAGGAGATGGTTTTGGTGCAGTTGAAAGTGTGAAGGCAACCAGTGACGTTTACTCTCCGGTTTCTGGAAAAGTTGTTCAAGTTAATGAAGAGCTCAGCAGCTCTCCTGGTTTGGTGAGTTTTATTTTATTGCCTAATTCACAATCAGAATTTATGTACTGAATGGTGTGTTTTTATGTTTTCGTGTGTTTTTATGTTTTCGTGTGTTTCTTCGTGTAGGTTAACTCAAGCCCGTATGAAAATGGATGGATAATTAAAGTTGAATTGAGTGACAGTGGTGAACTTAACAAGTTGATGGATTCAGAACAATATTCCAAGTTCTGTGAAGAAGAAGACTCCAAGCATTAATAGTTTTTGCAATATGTTTCAGTACTCCCCATGGTGTAGATGAGAGGATGTCAATTTGGAAACTAAGAATTGCTTCTTGTTTTTGTATTTCTGTCGGTATTGACTGCTCTTTTTATTTTTGTGCGAGCTTCTGATGCAGTGGGAAGTTTGATAATAAAAGAACCACGAGTAGTTTTTATTGCTGAGATAGTGTCTAAATTGTCATGAGTTCTATTTTGGTTTGGTGTCCTTGTTTTCAACTAAGATGGAACATAATTTACTAGGAATTTAATTAGGGTTAAATTGTGAAGAGTTAAATGGAAAACCATGACTCTCAAGTCCTGGTTGTCCGTCTCAGCCCAACTCGTCTCTTACTCCTCAGAACCAAATCCGACACCAAACAATTATACCAACATTTATATATGTTTAAAGTAGTAACCCAGTCTGCAAACTATAGAGCATGCTTCTTATAAAAAACCTGAAGATTGTAAAAAAATAGTTGATGAACCATAAAGGTATAGGTATGGTCAATTATCATAACATGACTGAAGGACCGTTGTCACATACTAAAGGTTTTTGGTCTCATGTCAGACCCGAACATGTGCATTTGCTCCCATACATGAGAGATTTCTCATAGGCCCGTTAGACGTGTAAATTCTTCTACTATTTGCGGACAATATTGTTTCTCACATGAGAAATATTTAATTATGGTTAATCATATTTATATTGACTTTAAACATATCATTTATCATATTTGGTAACTAGAGTATATCACAAAAGCAATTTTGTGTAATTTGTTTGATATTTTTGGTATGTTTAATATGTTTTCTCCTATATGTTTGATATGTTTAATATGATTGAGAGAGAATAACAAGTAGGATATTTATTTGTTGTTATTGCATTGAAATAATAACAATAATAAATAAGGAAAATTCTTCTGAGATTGTGGTACCACGTTGGGACAATGAACAATGTGCTTTTACTTGATATAATGGCATGGCTCTCACTATTCATAGCAAAACGGGCTGTTTGCTCCGCCTCGCTTTAAGCCCGCTAAAAAAAGATGGAGCAAGTAAGCCTGTCAAATAAAAATGAGTTTAAAAATCTAGCTCGTCCTGTTAAGTTGGCGGGTAACGGATTTGTTCGCCTATTTTTTTATTTTTTAATAAATTAATAAACTTATTTTTACATTTCAATTATATTTTTCACTTATTTTTTTAAAACAATTTTTTATAAAGTATTTTTTAATGAATTTTACTTCAAAAAAATATTGTATATATATTCACAAATAAATGTATAAAATATAATCAGATTTTAGTGTTTGATAACTTCGTTGGCGAGATTAAGACAGTGCGGGCTTAAAGCGAGTAGTCTGTCACAAAATTCTTACCCAACCTGTCATTTTTTGGCGGGTGCGCGGGTTAGCCCGACGGACCACATTCCATTTTGTCACCCCTAGTTATACTACATATTTTAATATTTTGGTATTGGAGCAGTGATTATTGTGCTGCCTCAATTATTTTCCTTCATCGAAGCTGCCTCAATTGTTTCTATGAACTTTGTCTTAAATGTTGCCCAGAAGTTTGTGATGGAAGAATTAATCTTCGTGTTGAGATGAAATTCCCATATGTGAATAGGGGTTATGACTATATGCATGGTGGTGACCTCACCCAATGTCTCATGATGTTATAAAACAAGGCACATGTCTAAGCAGTGAGCCAACGGTCATGTGGCGTGCATTGTGTGATAACGTGGATTTAATTTCCAATTAAAAAATGTCAAAAGTGTGCGTGCAATTCCTATAGATGTCTAAGCTAGGAGCCAACGGTCATGTGACGTGCATTGTGTGATAACGTGGATTTAGTTCCCAATTAAAAAATGTCAAAAGTGTGTGTGCAACTCCTATAGATTTGAGAATTTTTTAAATGCATTTTATGCATCTTCGTAAATATGTTGGAGATGCATCTCTAGACGCTATTGGTTCCAAATCGTGTCAGAACCCTTCTCATTCTTAATTTCTAAAAAAAAACACTAAAAAATTTCTTAAACTCTCTCAACTCACATTCTTTCAAAATCAATCAATCAAGTTCAAAACTTCTTTTATCAACATCAAGTACATCAAATATATCATTCAATACTAAAGTAAACTCTCAATTTGTATGTTTTTGATTTTTTTAAAAAATTTTTTAGTTTTTGTATAAATGAGTAAAAATCGATGATTTAGATAAGAAATAAATAGAAATTGCATGAATGATAGTTTATACATACTATAAAACTTGTTTGATGGTATAATTAACGATCAAAATATTATTTTTGGAGTCTGGGGGTCTGTAGAAAATTCTGGATATGCATCTCAAAATTTTTTAATGTTTGGATTCCCAAGAACCGGGGATGCATCTCCGTAATTTATTTGTCTTTTTTTTATTTTACTTTTCTTATTTGTACTAATTGTTTGACACTTGTCTAGTTTACTTACAAACATTATGGCTAATAGAGACGACAAACTGAAGCATATGAGGATTATGCAACATGCATCACTCTGGACGGAGAAGAGTTAGGTTTTAGAGGCTCCTGTTTACTCTAGCCTGGTTCATGCGGAGGCATCAGCTTTTGGAGCTCATGCTTCTCCATCTTCTTTTTCCTATAGGAGACGACTGTTACCTACTGACGCATCATTGCCTCCATTCTCCCGTAGGCGACAGGTTTCACCTATTTAAGCGCTAGAGGTACCAAAGTAACCAATGGTACCTAAGGCACCAGTGCCACCCTAGACACCGGAGGTACCTCATGTTAATGAGCCAGTGCCACCCTAGACACCGGAGGCACCTCATGCTGATGAGTCAGTGCCACCTCCGGCTGATAAGGATGTTGAGTTTGAGTCATCTCAGATTGCTGAGGCTGTATAGCCAATGTCACCTCAGGCATTTGGAGGAGGCCCTATAGAGGTGTCAATGTTGCCTCTGTACCTGAACCATATTTTCAGACATATTTGAGATGAAAAGTTAAAATTAGTTGGACTCATTATGATAAGTTAACTCTTTTGTGATATTATGACAAATAATTTGATGATTCCCCCTACTTATTAAGGTTGAAACAACACGACATTCACATTTATCATCATCAGAAACATCTACAATTTTGTCAATATATTTGTGCATAAAAACATAAATCTTGTTAATGTATTTTATTTTAGGTTAAATATGTTTGTGGTTTTCCTAAATATCTCAAATTTCGTTTTTAGTCTCTTCAAATATTTTCTTTAAAGAATGGTCCTCCTATTACTAAAATCGTTGCTAAAACTGTCGCTAATTCAATCGTTAAGTTAAACATTGTCGCTAAAACTGTCGTTGATTCTGTCGCTAAGTTGTAAAAATTGTCACTAAGTTGCAAGAGGGACACAAAATGTGGATTAAAAAATTTATGAGGACCATTCTTTGGAAATATTTTGAGAGATTAAAAACGAAATTGAAATATTTATGAGGACTATAAACATATTTAACCCTTTTATTTTTAGTAAAAATGGATAAGGCGACAGTTTGTTGATGGTGCACCCTTACTAGAATATTGTTTGCACTATGAAATAAGAGAATTCAGATAAAGTAAGTCAACATGCTCTAAGAATAATGGGGACCACTTGGTAGAATTATCACTAAGAGTTGGTTTAATCTTCTTTGAAACACCCTAGTGTAATCTCCCATATATCCTTAAATGTTCAATTAGTTGTCAGTTGGGACCAAATGAGTTCCTATGTACTCTATCTCTTGTCAGTTGGAATAATTTGAGCTCATACGTGCTAAGTGTTATCAGTTAGAACCGGTAGAATAACCAATGAACTTTGAAGAGATCAATCCTTATTAGAAGAGACTGACCATTATTACTAAGTATAAGAGGGGATATTTTGGTAACATTAATAACTGGTCAATTAACAAAATATCAATTGAGATATTGTGTATCACTACTTAATAATATATATATATATATATATATATATATATATATATATAT